CAACAAATCCCACAATTTCATTCAGAGAAAATAACACGATAGTTAAATGTATATTCAGAGTTAGAGTGGTCTACAGCAATATAGAATTTCTTTCCAGCAAGATCAAGTTCCCTAACAGTAAGTGTTTTAATCATTAACCAGCACTGAGTTGCAATAGAAATGATAATTAGTTGCCATATGTAACTACATAAACAAATAACAATCTACATTTCAAAAGTACTGTTACTGTTTGCAGCAAAGCAACATACCTTGCAGAATGAGTGGAGTTCATCTTCTAGCTGTGCTCTCCTATAGAACAGCCTACTGGTAAGCTCTACCTCTGTCATAGATTTGCAGGTAAGCCAAGGTAGCTGTTCTGCACTGAACCATGCAATACAACCATACACAAATGCAAAATGTGTAAAAGGGGCAAGGCTTCCAAAGTTCACAGACATGGTTGTTACTTGTTAGCTAGATACCACAAACTTATAGCAAAATAAACTGAGAACACGTGGTCCATTGGTTCATGAAATGTCCTACACTATATATCAGAATGTTATCATACAAGTAGAGATCTGAACTTTTTGAGTTTCTGTATTATCCTAACAAGGTCTGCATTCGGAGAGATCTATACTACAATTTTTTTACGATGATAAGGTCAAATTCAATAGATGCTTGTGCCAAATTAATTATGCATTATTTGCTTCTAAAACAACTGTGTTCCTCTGAACAATGTACTGACAACAATTCAGGACATATCAGCGAGCTCTCCTGTGACAGGGATTTATTGACATGAATGACCGGCATCCTACTCACCAACATGATTTGTTGCGAACTGCAACACAATTCTAAGCATAGCGCAATTAAACCATACAGGTTTAGAACATTCAGGCATTACGAGACTTGTATAAGGCCCCAAATTCAATGGACATAAAACATTAATCACTGTTATGTAAAAAAATAAAGTCAACACATTTGAAGATAAAAGCAGATAAAAGTAACGTGAGCCTTTGCCTATGCGGAAGCCACTGAATGCAAACTTAGGGATTAGTGGCAGGGGAATTCAGTAATCAATACATAAGTGGTCACATTCAGATGGGCTGGAGATGGTGCGGATTGATCAAATTGCATGGACTCTGGGTGGTTACCTGAACCATTCGTCGAGTTCATCTTCGTCTAGCGGCTGACCGACTTGGATCGGCTTGAGATCTCGTCAAGGGAAGAGTGACCACCCTTGCGCGCGGAAGCAGAGAGGCACTAGTGCGGCTCCAGGATCGACTGATAGGATCCGACGATCCTCCTCCTTGACGCGGAAGCTCCGAACCTTCTTGGACGCGGTGGAACCTTGCTCATCTTGTTGGGGTTGGTGAGTGGGGGCGGCTGAAGTTGCGGCTAAATCACCTTTGGCTGCTTCCCCTTGCCATCCGGCACTGGTCCAACTCCGACAAGGGGAGGAGCCTCCTCCGCATGCCTGCCTCCTCACCACATCTGGCCTCCGTGGTGCCGTCGTGGTTGTGGGGAGGGGGAGGCGGGGTGGCAGCAGAGGAGGAAGAGGGGAGGTGGCGACGGCGGCGGAGGGGAGAGAGAGTGGGAGCGGAGGGGCGATGGCCGGATCTGAATGCCGGCTTGCAGATCCAGCCGATGCCACGGTGGATTTGCCCCTCCATGCCAGATTTCAACGAGGGGACAAACTGGAGAGAGAGAGAGAGGAGGAGGAGGAGGAGAGAGAGGCTCAAAACCCACAGGCTCTAGCTCATTTAGAAGGGCTAAACATCTATGTGAGCTTTTATGACTAGGATCCGGAGTGGGTTGCGTTCCCTCAGCAGGCTCCCTAGGTGCGAGGGGAGAACCGGAGAAGGGACAGGCCGAGCGTTGGAGCAAACGCGTTTGCTCTTCAATTTTACTGGGTTTGATAAATTTTTCAGGTCCGTGCTCATATAGCAGCGACACGTTTGCTCCAAATGAGTCACTGACAAGGGCCCTTCTTATCAGAGACGCGTCTAGTTGAGAAGAGTCACTGATAACTTATCATTAGTGACTCGTTTTCTTTTAGTGGTAGTGGTCGACACCTGACAAGTGACGCGTTCTGTTTAGCCACGTCACTGATCTCACATCAGTGACACGTTTCAATTCTGAGTCACTGATTAAGGTGTCTCCTTTGTCATGTTTTGGCATAGTGAGGCATCCTTCTTCCGTACCTTGCTTCAGCACTGATGCTCTACTCAGCGTAATAGGGATTGGACCTGACTGAAGCGGTACTAGGAATTGAATTAAGCAAAGCCAGGAAGTCATGGTGGGTGGGTCAGATTGAAAGGCACCGTGCATTGATATGCCAGGGTTAACCTGACAAGGTGAAGAGGTGTCCGCATGGTATTGTTTCAATGTAGCAGTAGCTTAGGACTCACTAGTGGAGTAGACAAAATGCTCCATGGCACTGCTCCTGATGCCTATCAATCCTATTTGCAGTGCATGTAAATTTCTTGATTTGTGAAATTGGGATGTGTCCCACATAGTGCAAACACTAGAATGCCAGCAGTTCCATATATATGTTCATGTACGCAATGTGTTTTGCTTGTTTCTTGCTAGGCTGGCTCCCATTTTATTTGTTGTACCTCCAAACAAAGAAAATGATGGAAGTTATGTTCTTGAGCTACCTATGAGTCCATGAATTCATGTCCGCACAAGTGTTGCTGAAGGATCAAAACAATGTTCACATACTATTAAATCAATCTCATAATCAATAACCGCAGTGATGCACATTTACATCACTCAAGCATTTCCTTTAACATAAATCTGCATACAAATTATCAATTATACAAAAAGTAGAGCTTGGGCTAGGATGGCACTTCACTTTTACACCGATTTCTATGGACACAATTCACAACCGTCTCTATGCATGGCAAGCACCTCGAGAATTACGCGTGTTTGATGGGGTAGCTATGCAATCATGCTTAGAAATTGATTCTACAGATGGTAGGGGCGGTTGATATTATGGATGGCCTGTATGAAACTTTTCTAGAAAATTGCTAAAGGATGGGAAATGGAACCATAAAAATAGAAAAGGTTTGCATGCCCAAGTGGTATGTTCTTAAGGATTCATACTCAACATTATTAAGCATGACATGAACATCCTCCTTACAAATGTTTTGACAGAAAAATCACACTAAAGGAGGAGGATTTCTCTATGTGTAAGAAAAATAAAGAGGACGTGCCAGTGTACTAAACTACACAAAAATAAACAAAAGGAGCAACACACAATTTATTCATATTTATGGAAAATACAAATAATGGTTCCCTTATACAAATATGCTCCACAGCCTGCTGGTGTATTGCGTCAATATTGCTTACCCTTAAGTCCCTCCATAAGATGTACTCTTTAACCAATCACTTAGTCATGGAGTATACAAAAGACGCAATTCTCGTCTGCTCTCACTTTTCTCGTTTTGTGTTTGGCATCTTGCAGTTCAAGGATCTTCGTCATTGTGCTACAAGGGATAGCTTACACTAAGTGCGTGTAATGGCCGAGCATGACGCCAAAGATCGATGCTTGGGTGAAAGTCAGTTGTCTACATGCGCTAACATATTGGATGTGATTAAGGATTGTGATGATATGCCGCAAACAGGGAGGATTGAAGAGTGTTTCTTTGGGATGATCCATAGCACTAAAACCCATAGTTGTCTTGTGCTATGTAAACCCAAAACACAAATGCTCGTTATTAATTGGGTTGACTGGACCATGCGTTGGGTAGATCCAAAACACTAAAACCTAGAGTTGTCCTTTTTTGGGTGAACCCGTAACACAATGCTTGTCAATTGGGTAGACTAGATCAAGGGCAGGGTTGACCCCAAAAGCTAAAACCCAGAGTTGTCTTCTGCCAGGTCAACCCAAAATGCTATGCTTGTTGATTGAGTAGAATGGACAAGGGTTGAGTTGACCGAATGTACATCCATAGTTACAACCAACTACAACAGCTTATTCATTGTTGGTGATGAACACTAGGGCCCATCTGAGACACACTTTTGGTGATTGTTTTGTTACCAAGTCCTCCTATTCTAGTGACAGCAATCATATCTTGTAATGATGGACAATCACAAGCTGCCACTTGCATTTTTTCCACTAGTTCATTTGGTTGTGTTATGCTTGTTTGTTTCACAAAGTATATCTCCCATAATCACAATCCACTTGCACCTCTTTCCTCCACTTTATTCCCTGGAAAAATTACACATGAATAGTTTGAAAGCACTACTTCTCTGTTTAGAAACATCCATCATATATATGTTTTTTGAGTAAAAATAATACATATACTATGTTTAGAAACATCCATCATATATAGTCAACATCCGAAGTCAGAAAAAAAGTGAGTGGAACTATACTCCATTGAGACAAGTAAAATTGGTTTCAAAAGCTGTTGGATGTATTGCAAGACGGCCGATAGAAATTTTGGCAGGGCCCTTAAATTTTATGTTCCGTGAAATGTGTATTGGCGAAATATATCAGAAACTAACTGTGTTTTCAGTATCTAGACTACCTATCTGCTCCGTCAAAAGAAAATCTATGTTCAATTAAGATCCATCAGCATCAGAATACATTGAGAAAAAACTCAAAGCACAATTTAACATGGGCCTAGACTGTGAAACAGGTTGGATAGTGTGTACCCAAATTCCAAAAAGTAGCTACAGTACTTGTTTGGTTTGCGGTCCATGCATGGAGCATTAAATGTGACGAAAAAGAAAAACTAATTGCACAGTTTGGTGGGAAATTAAAACGTTTTAAGCCTAATTAGTCAATGTTTGGACACTATTTGCCAAATAAAAACGAAGGTGCTACAGTAGACCCAAAATCCAAACTTGAACTAAACAAGGGCATAATAACAATATTAAGAAACAAGGCAAATCTAAGGCCTCAAACTATGGCAATGTAAGTCCACTGTGACTGTGTGAACCTCTCAGGCACTAAACATAGAATTCTAACTAGCAGAGACAAAATTAATCCAAAGATAAATTCGAATTGATCCATACCATCAGAATTTCCCTGTTCAAACAGCACAAACAAGATGGAGAAGATAAAAGCATCATGATGTTGACATCAAAGTCAGATGAGAAATAAGAGACTAAGATGGATGTTCTGTATAGCAGCTGGCAGGTAGTTCAGATGCTGATTCACGAAAAAGCACAGTAATTTCCCGAAGCCCTGGTGCCTACCATCCCCTGCAGCCTTGTTCGTAGCATCAGCAACTTGCTTCACCAGATTCGCCCCAACATTCTTCGCGCTATCCTCGAACTCCACGCTCTTGGCAACAGTGACCCCATCCTTCGTGACCTTGGGACCTTTACAGAACCCCTCGATGATCACAGTGCGCCCCTGCAACACAAGCAATCAGCCCACTCAATCGAATGCGAAAGCCCAGCGGTTCCACTAGATCCACGCCGGTCGCCGCTGCATCACGCCCCGCCCCCGACCAACGCAAAGCTTCCCAGAGGCAAAGCAGGGAGCGCGAACCTTGGGGCCCATGGTGACCTTGACGGCGTCGGCGAGGTCGTTGACGCCCTGCAGCATGGCGGCGCCGGCGCCAACGCCGAAGGACACCTCCTTCGCCGTGGCCGCATACCCCCGCGCCAACAGACGCGGCGGCTCCCCGCCCGCGCTCCGCGCGAGCTGCCTCCGCAGCGCTGAGGAGGACCTCGAGATGGCCGTCGCCGTCGCCCGGTACATGGTCGCGCGAGTGTGCCTGGCTGCCTGCGGCTGCTCGTGTGCGCACTCGAATTGCTTTTGCCACCGGGTCAGGAGGAGGGTTTTAGATGAACAGGGGTTTGGAGTCCCGGAAGCTTCATCTTCGGCTCCACCGCAAGATCCACGCTTCGGGGACCGCTTGGTTCCAGAGATTTCATTTCGCCGGCGAGGGCGCGGCAGCGGCGGGGGTGGGCGCGGCGGCGGCTGGGGTGGGCGCGGGGGAGGGCGTGGCTGGGGGCGTGGTTAGGGTTGGGCCGCGCCGGGTTGGGCCGGTGGGCTTTTAGTGCCCTTTTTTTAAAAAAAAAAATAAACTTTGCCGAGTGCCCCTGGGCCGGCACTCGGCAACGCCCACTTTGTCGAGTGTTCCCCGTGGCACTCGGCAATTTTTTTTTTTGATTTTGGGCCCAAATTTTTTTTGGGGGCCTTGTGGCAGTATTTCAAACTCTATTTTAAAATTTGGGGTAATTTTGACTTTTTTTTATATATTTCATTAGTTTATTTCGTTTCGTCGAATTTTTCGGGATATTTCAAATTTGAACTGCAAGTACATGGAATAATGGACTTTGGTCATCCAAAAATTGATACTCATGATATTTAGAGTATGTTTAGGCCGTATCGAGAACACACAAAATCGAGCATCTCATGATATTTAAGTATTACTTAGGAAATGTGATTTTAAATTATATAAAATGCAAACAAGTCTCAAAAATCACGAAACTTGTTGTGCAAACATCGCATGTGGGCTGTGGTAAAAATGAAGATTTCAATCAAGACGTCCCAACTTGTCAAAACGGACTTCTCAATTTGTACCACAGCCAACTTAAACAATCTATGACACGATGCCTCAACAAATTTCGTGATTTTCGGACTTCGCTTGCATTTTATATAATTTAAAATCACATTTCCAGCAAGTACCTCGACATGTTACGTCAACGAGATGCTCGAGATTTCATGTGAGTTCCTGGATATGGCCTAAACATACCGTAAATATCATGAGTATCAATTTTGAGATGACCAAAGTCCATTATTCCATGTACCTGCAGTTCAAATTTGAAATATCCCGAAAAATTCGACGAAACGAAATAAACTAATGAAATATATCAAAAAAAGTCAAAATTGCCCCAAATTTTAAAATAGAGTTTGAAATACTGTAACAAGGCCCCAGAAAAAATTTGGGCCCAAAATCAAAAAATGTTTTTTTGCTGAGTGCCATGGGGGGCACTCGGCAAAGTGGGCTTTGCCGAGTGCCGGCCCAGGGGGCACTCGGCAAAGTTGATTTTCAAAAAAAAAAATTTGCCGAGTGCCTGGTGCTGGCACTCGGCAAAATAAGTTTTAAAAAATTAAAAAAAAAATTGCCGAGTGGCCAAGGCTTACACTCGGCAAAATATGTTTTTTAAAAAAAAATTTGCCGAGTGCTTGGGTCTGGCTCTCGGCAAAATAAGTTTTAAAAAATTAAAAAAAAAATTGCCGAGTGCCCAAGGCTTACACTCGGCAAAATATGTTTTTTAAAAAAAAAATTGTCGAGTTCCTATCTCTGGCACTAGGCAAAATATTTTTTTTAAAAAAAAATTTGCCGAGTGCCATGGGCTGGCACTCGGCAAAATATATTTTTAAAAAATAAAAAAAATTGCCGAGTGCCTGGGGCTGGCACTCGGCAAAATAAGTTTTTAAAATAAAAAAATTTGCCGAGTGCCCGCCATTAGGCACTCATTAAAATCTGATGGCAGGTGGCCGCCGTCATGGGGCAGCCACCTTTTGCCGAGTGCCGCGGCACTCGGCAAAGCCCAGTTTTGCCGAGAGCCAGGCTTTACCGAGTGCCTAGCACTCGGCAAAGCCACTTTTGCCGAGTGCTTTATTTTGCCGAGTGCGGCACTCGGCAAAATATTGCTTTGCCGAGTGCCCCGATAAAAAGCACTCGGCAAAGTCTCAGGTACGTACCTACATTCACTATACATACTCTTTCCTGTGGTCTAATTTATACTAAAGGTTCTTAATTAAAGAAGAAACTCTGTAGTTTTTACAACAAAGGCATCTCAACACTAATGAAACACATGCATGTGCAAACAGTCAGCAACAGGCTCTTTCCGTACAATTCATTACTCTTTTTAACAAAGTGGTTTGATGCAGTAATTGTATTGATGTGAAAAGGTAACTTACATCACTTGTTTCATAATACAGACCTTGAAAGCACAAATAAAATATGTTGCAGAGTACACATATCGTCTAGAACATCATAAATAAAGTACTCTAGATCGAAAACATTACACAAACAACACATTTTCTAGAATGTTTAGAAGAGATGTGACATACAGACGTAACCAATCCATGCATTTACTAGCCCAAAACCGGCAATCACTGTCAATTTGAAACCGGCTTTCACTTACGGTTCAAAATTCAATTGAGCTCTGGTATGCTGCTGGAGAATCGTACAACTATAAATAACCGGCACAGATCAAAACCGATGATGACCAACGATTGGCAACCTCCTCGATCTTTGACTGTGCAATGACTGCAAGGTGCTGAAACCATTATGACACTCCATGAAAATATCAAGCAGTCTGCTAGAGTTTTATCAACAAGGTTGCACTATGGACATATAGTGCCCCATCCAAGACTTTTTCAGATTGGATTGATTATGATATGCCTCCCATTTCTGCTCACATTGTGGTTCCTGAAAGAGGGAGTAAACCTTTTCACATATGTTCCAGCTTAACACATGAGCTTGGGCAAACCTTTCAGTCTTCATGCTAGCTAGTTATATATATGCATCTGTTTTTTGAGTGAAATATAGATGCACCTTTTTCTGAGGCAAAGATAGGCATAATTTTAGATATTGACCTACAGAGTTGCTGAGGTTGGCCTCCCAATTTAAATCCAACTTTTACCATCTTATGACTCACTAAACATGAGGCAGTAGCTATGATTTATGACTCACTAAACTGAATTTGTTTTGTAGATCCTACTTTTCTTGCTGTCTTGTGTTGTTCTGATGGTGGCCACAAATTTCCCTGTCGGGTTACTACGACAGGGCTGCAAATCTAAACCTAATGTGCCTGAATTTTCCTTTCTGCATCCAGTTTTTCTGTCGACGTCAGGAAAATTTTGTTTTCTGTCGGTATTTTCCTGTCGGGAAACCGACAGAAAAGTTAGTTTCCTAATTTCCATGTTGGAAATTTTAGTTTCTAGTAGTGTTCTGGCTGGCTTGATTGATTGTACCATCCCTGGTGGCATATATAGCTATACTGCAATATGCTGATGATACCATAGTTTGTCTCAAACATGACTTGGATAAAGAGCCAGAAACTTGATACTTCTTTTATACCTCTATGAACTGATATTACGTTAAAAGATTATTTTTTCTGAAAGGAAGTCTCTGACAATAAATGATTTTGAAAACCTAGACCGAACTTATATATTCTAGTATTTTTAACTATCAAATTGGTAACTTTCCTTTGAACTAAATATTTTGGAGTACTAGCGAGCTACCGAAGCAGGTTACATATTAAAGACTGATATACGATGGAGGGCACCATACATCTATAGCTGGTTGGTCCACTCTAATTAATTCTAGTTTCACCAGTTCAGCTATCTAACCTATGTCGAAGTATCTTTTGCATAAAACTGTGATAAAAAACTGACAAAATTCGAAGAACCTTCTTTTTGTCAAAGCAGTAGTATAAATAAAAAATATTACCTATTTAAATGGATAAGGATTTGCCAAAGCAAAAACAAACACTACTCAAAACCGAAACCCATGTAAGTGCCAAAACCAATATAAAGGGAAATATGAAGAAATACCCATATGGAAATAAGAAAAATCATTGTATTCTCTGTCACTACTGAAGAAATCTTATTGTATTCTCTACCACTACTAAAGAAGCCATTTTTAGACAAGTCTCCTTTTAGTGCTGATATGACTCTGTCGAGAACTGCCCCTAAAAATGGTTTATGAGTCCGCTAGCCTTTAAACATCAATTTTTAGAGGCACCTTGAAAGCCCAACCACCTTTTTATGGTTGGAAAGTCCAACTGTCTCTAAAATTACCATTTCTAAAGGCCGGTAGAGTTTCCTACTGTCACAAGAAATAGAGGCATTTCTGAGGCTGTACCATCTTTTTAAATAGATTTATAGAAGCGGATGGAAATGTGGCCAGCCTTTAAAAACAGATGTAGCACAGTAAGATCCAATGTATCTTTTGGAACCAATTTCTAATTTTTAATTTGTTTGGATTGCTGGTATATCATTTTACTCAGAAGACAAGAGTTACAACCCATCATTGACAAAATAATCAAAAGAATAGCTGGGTGGAAAGGTAGGCTCCTGTCTTATGCAGGGAGACTCACCTTGCTCAAAGCTTGTTTGGCAAGCATTCCCATTTATTTGCTCTCTGTAATTAAATTCCCAAGGTGGGCCACTTCTTATGGAATGACAGTGTGGACCATCATAAGTATCATCTAGCTAGCTGGCAACTGGTCTCTCAGAGAAAAGAAGTTGGTGGTCTAGGAATTCCAGATATGAGAAGTTTAAATCTAGCACTACTAGGTGCTTGGATCTTCAGATATCATCTGAATTCAAATGCTATTTGGAAAAGCATTGTAGATTTGAAGTATTAAATATGATCCTAATGTCTTGTGATGTCCAACGGTTGGAGCATCTCCTTTTTGGAAAGGAGTGCTTTGGGCTGTACAAGCAGCCCGTATGGGTATTAAGTGGGTGATTGGTAACAGTAGAAAAGTTTGATTTTGGGAAGACATTTGGTTGGGTAAAACTAGCTTGGTTATGGTTTATTGGCCACTGTACATAATTAATGAGCAGCAAGGTAAAACTTTACATGATGTCTGGGATGGGGAGAACCTTATGTTAACTTTCAGAAGAAGTGTGTTGACTAGTACTACGAACCTTTGGCTAGAATTATGTAGCTTGATGGAATCAGTTTCCCTCTCTGAAGAGGAGGATCAAATCTTGTGGCATTTCACTTCCAC